TTTTTCCACATAGCTGCCAATTGTTAATTTTTGGGTTTTTTTTTTTTTTTATTTAATTTTTTTATGCACCTATATAATGGGTTACTGAATGTAGTTATTTAAGTTTGCCATCAAAAAGTTCTAAAATTTATTTTAGAAATAAAATTTATTTTTAAGGTGCTTTGACGATGCCACCCAGTTAAATAACATTTTGTAAAATACATGAAAAAAGGTTCTGAAAGGGATTTAAATTCAATATTATGTTATAAAAAAATTTAACAAAAATAACGGCTGATCTTTAGAATATGGTAACTGGTAGTTTGGCGACATTTTGGAGACGATAAATACCTGGGACTTTGGTAATAATGTGAGCAGTACTCAGTTCCGATTACGCATTATTTTGTGAGGGAAATGAGAGATCATGGATATGTCATGTGATATTAATGGACGAATTACTGGTTCTTTTATCGGAAAAGGGGGGGGGGAATTGGAAAAATATCTGTGGCTGTATATTATTTTGTATTAAGCTTCATTGTGTGTTGTGTGAAGTAGGGTTGAATAATTTTGGATTGTTGGGCGCTGTCTAAAGTGAATTCGATTTTTGTGCGTTTACATACCAAAAGAATTAGATGGGCATGAGTGAGTTATTGCTATAAGTGAAATGTCCAAATGTGCCGAATGATTATTGTGTGAAGGAAGATATTCTGATAAGTTTGAATGGCGTTGCAAGAATCTGGTGAGGAATGGACCTTTTGTGAAAGGGAGTGAAAGGGAAATTCGCAGAAAAAAATCATTCAATAATTTTATTGAATCCATAATAAAAGTGTATCCACCATGTAAGCAAGATTCTGAAGAAGATTAGGTAAGTTAGTATTTTTAATTATTTGAGGATATTATTTTTATGCATTGTTCTAAATGTAAGGGTGAAAGTAAAGTAATTTGGTATTATTGGGAAAATTGTTATTAGCAATGATTTAGTTTAAAGTAATTAGGATTGTAAGCTTTTTTATTAATTTAATGTATGTGCTCATTTATATTTTAAGTAGTGTTTTTGAATTTAATTATATTTTAATTAAATGATAGTTATTTTGTGAATTTTATGTTTGTAGGAATTTGGTATACGTTTTTAGTTGAAGTAAACGTGCATGGAAATAATTTAAATATTTGACACTAAGTATTTGTAATGTTTGCGGTATGAATTCGTTGGTGACGTTTATAATATAATAGATGATTTAGAGGTAAAAGTTTTTGGATATTTTATTTATTTTATACGTGGAAATGTTCATATTTGGAAAGGGTATATACTTTTTCGCAATCAGGTAATTTCATATATTTAAAGATTCACAAAATTTTCATGCAGTTTCGTGAAATTTTTCTAATTTATGAGAAAAAAGCAGTGTACATGGATATAGTGAAATGTGTGCGCAATGCCATTTTTGTGCAATTCTGGGATTTTTTTTTTAAGTAAAAATAAGTCGACGTGTACATGGTTTAGTGATATTTTAATTAAATGATAGTTATTTTGTGAATTTTATGTTTGTAGGAATTTGGTATACGTTTTAGTTGAAGTAAACGTGCATGGAAATAATTTAAATATTTGACACTAAGTATTTGTAATGCTTGCGGTATGAATTCGTTGGTGACGTTTATAATATAATAGATGATTTAGAGGTAAAAGTTTTTGGATATTTTATTTATTTTATATGTGGAAATGTTCATATTTGGAAAGGGTAATACTTTTTCGCGATCAGGTAATTTCATATGTTCTTTCTTTTTACCGGGTTTTAAAGATTCAGAAAATTGTCATGTATTTTCGTGAAATTTTTTCTAATTTTATGAGAAAAAAGCAGTGTACATGGATATAGTGAAGAGTGTGCGCAATGCCATTTTTGTGCAATTCTGGGATGTTTTTTTAAGTAAAAATAAGTCGACGTGTACATGGTTTATGTGTATGTGTTATTTTGAAAAACGCGTAAGGAGTATGGTATTGTGCACTTTTTCCCAATTTTGCAGTGAATATTTGTCATGATTAAGCAGTTTTGTTAGATAAAATTTCTAGCATAAGTGTAATTCGGCTAGTAGATTGTTGGAAGAAGTGTTCAGTAGATAAATAGAAAAGAAACATGTCTTTACTTCGTGAAGACAAAATGGCGGCGGGAAAAAAAAATAGAGGGTTGCTGTAGGAGAGTTGGTCGCCAAATTTTCGCCAAAAATCGCCAAGTTACCATAATGTAAAGATCAACCGAAATTGTTTTTATGAACACATCTAACATATACTCAGAAAGACAAAAATGAACTTTATTTTTCAAGTTATTTTTGCTTAGATAAAAAAATGAAAAGATGCTCTCAATGATCCCAAAACTCCCCACACCCACACACAATACTTGAAACCGTCACCGATGAGCCCTTTTTATTTATTAAATATAGATTATATCATTTTGTTCAAAAAGAAAAGCTGTTAAATAACTTTATCTCACATATCCTGAAGCTTTTTTTTTTTTTTTTTTTTTTTTTGATTCTCAACCCTTAGGCACCCTTATTTTTTGATTTTCAACCCTTATTTTTTTGATAAATAAGATATTAATATATAATTTTGTTCAGGAAGAATAACCCCCTTCTAACACACTGAGAATAATGTGGCTCTTGGACATGGTCAAAATTACTTTGTTTCTCCATCTGGGTAAAACTCATATGAGATATACTTTTTATTTTTTTGGTGAAAATACTTCATCAGAAATATCAGATACAGCAAGTTTGAATCCATCACAAGAAAGTTCTTTAAGCAGAGTAAATACTTCTCTTCACGCAAAAGTTCTCTTTTAGGCATTTTCTTATAACCACTTCACTGTCCTATAAGACTCAAATATTTGCTTCTTTTTTCCTCCAAAGATAAATATTTTGCATCTGTATCTGGACTTAGCGCCTGAAACTGGTCTGACCTTTCACCAGCTATGAAGACCTGCTTTGAAAACTGCCTTCATGTATCCTTACCAAGGAGAACAATTTCTTGGTTAATCTTTGGATTATGGTAACTTGGCGATTTTTCGGCGAAGATCTGTTGATCAACCCTGCTACAGCAAACTGCTAGTTTTTTTTTTTTTTTTTTTTTTTTGATGCCATTTTGTTTTCATGAAGTAAAGGCATTTTTTTTTATTATTATTATGATTATTCAACATTTTTTTCCAACAATCTGCTAGCCGAATTACGCTTATGCTAGAACTTTTATGGAACAAAGGTGTTTAGTCATGACGAAGATTAGGTGCGAAACTGGGAGAAAGTGCAGAATCGCCCACTGCTTGCCACGTTTTTAAGAATTGCACATACACGGAGTATCCATGTACACGTCGACCTATTTTCACTTAAAAAAAAACATCCCAGAATTGCACAAAAGCGGCATTGCGCACACTCTTGACTTTATTCGTGTACACTGCTAAGTCCTAGCTAGTAACCTTTATCGCCTTACCATAATGTCGCCAAACTACCTGCTACCATATTCCAAAGATTAGCCTCCTTTAGATGATGATTGCTATTTATTCATAAATTACGTTTCATATTTTTAATGTATAATTTGCATGCCAACAGATTTAAATCATGATCTTCCGGGAAAACCTTTAACCGGGGAAGTCCTGACAAGTCAGATTACAGTCTGTACTGTACCTAACCTTTTCAGAATCTTTTTTTTTTTTTTTTTTTTTTTTTGTGCTGCTTTTCTCCATAACAAGCAATGTTTTCATTAATCCTTTAAAGGGTAATGGTTGTAGGTGCAATTCTTAAAAACGTGGCAAGCAGTGGGCGATTCTGCACTTTCTCCCAATTTCGCACCTAATCTTCATCATAATTAAGCACTTTTGTTCCATAAATTTCTAGCATAGGCGTAATTCAGCTAGCAGATTGTTGGAAAAAAATGTTGAATAAAAAAAAAAAGCCTTTACTTCATGAAAACAAAATAGCGTCCAAAAAAAAAAAAACTAGCAGGTTGCCGTAGCAGGGTTGATCGACAAATTTTCACCGAAAAATCGCCAAGTTACCATAATCCGAGGATCAACCCTAAAGGGTATCAAATTTTACAAAAAAAAAAAAGCTTAAGATTTATTTGTTTACTTTAATAAACATTTCTTTCAATATGCGCATGCATAAAGCATACATTACTCACGCGCATTCTTTACGCGCATGCGTAAAGTTTGCGTCTTTGAGGTCCGGATTACAGATCATTCTGGATAATGGACGTGCAGATTACGGACTTTGCACTGTATTTCATTGTGATATTCTTGCTTTTTTAATTTTACTGATTGTTTGTCTTATATGGAATTATTCTTATTCTACCATTTTGAAAATGACTGTTTCCTTTGCAAAAGTTTTATTCAAAATCTAAGCCAAACTAAGATCACTTTTTTGCTCAGTTTTAAATTTTGCACTGCAGTGTTTCTCTTCTATTTGACACTTCCAATGGCAAAATTAAAACTATTTTGACTTTATTCATTATAGCTAATTCAGGCAAGTTGATAATTATGAAAATATTTTAACATGAATAACTTGAGTAACACTGTAATGCAAGTAAAATCTGATATGCTTAAAGATGACACCCTCTAAGTAACACAAATATAAAGTAAAGTAACATAAAATATTAATTTACTGGCAGTGATACCGTTCTTATAATATTAATTACTTGAAAAGTGGAAGCAGCAGATTTTCAAGGTTACTATAAACAGCATTATGAAACGTTATGAAATACCATGACAATAAAAGATACATGAAAAAGTGGTCCAAAAATGAGGGAAAAAAACATAAACCAAAAATGAATATTGGTAAACTACAATCAAAGGGCACAAAAACATTAAAATTCTGCAAGCATTACATTTCGGTTAAAAACAAAAAGTAAATGATAAGTGAAAATTGTTTAATAAGTAAATATCTATTTTACAAAAATACACGTTACTCGGTTGTATTTCATCTACTCCAGTTTTTTTGGCATAATATTTACACAGATTTTCCAAAGAATATAAAAATATGAATTAACATACCTATCTGGCTGACTAAAACAAGAAGTGTCCTGTGATCTTCAGAGAATAAATCATAATCTGTATTACTCATACTTGATTACATGCATATCACATTGAAGAATCTGCAAAAAACCAGTACTTTTAATATTTAGGATATAGTAGGACATATTCAAATCTCTCACTACAACAGTGTGAAGTTAAATTTTAGGTGTAAGAAATAAACGAGTTCAGATCAACGTAAAACAAAATTACCTTTATTTAAATTCTCATCTGTCAAACGACTTCATTTCTCATGGTCAGTTACATATATATTACTACTGTGTACATTTTATATGACAACATAATTTCAAGTTACAAAGAATGTTACTGCAGATTTATAGCTCAGACCTACCTTAATTTGAATGACATAAATCCTGAAACGAAGCAATACTACTTACCTTGAAACGAAGAACACAGATATTTTGTTTAATTTAAACCTTTATAAGAAATGTTACTATACTTTAAAAACATAAATTCCAGTTCCAAATTAAATTCAGCAGTTGACATTCAACACACAACTTTAAAAACATGAATCTGCATTTATTGCCTTGAAATTAACATTTATACAAACCTTTAAAAAAATTAAAGATCGAATTTCTATGAGTGTTCAGCAACACAATACTGATCTCACACGTAGTTGTATGCATTTATTTCTCACTGTTCTGAATTATTACGAAATTTCGTACTCATTCGTTGCAATGTGAAGCTCTTAAAGCATCAATAACACGACCGCCCTCCATGCTAATACAATCTTCATCGCACAGGCACTTAAACAAACTTTGCTAATACCATGTGACAAAGAACGACACTAGATGGCAGTAGAGTATTTATAATCTCTGACTCGTTTATCACTATTCCGTCCGATTTATGATTAGCAGTTTTGGTTCTGAACCATACGCTAAAGCGAGCTGATCCTCCTTATACTTCACTTTGATTGAAACGGTAATAGACATATGGGTGCTTGGGCTTTATCTCTTACCCTAAATCAAAAACCCAACAAAAATTTTCGAAAATTTTATTTGAATTAACTTAAGCGGTATATAAGGTATAGGGGGAAAAAAACTGTTTGCAGCTACGTAACGAAATTATTTGAACAGAAAGCTAACTGGTGACTAAACAATAAAGTAAGTGCACAAATGAAAGGGTGCAGAAAATAGTTAATATACTGGTGATTCAGGAAAGTACACAATAATAACCTAATGCTACTTGTAATCTCGAGTTTTGGACTCGTCTACTTCTTCGAGTGGTGCAAACACCGGAATACTTGGTCTGTGGCGACCTCCCTCCATCGAGTGAATAGTTATTTTCGAATTTATTGAAGCAGCAGTATATTCGAAAGTAACTGTGCTTCTAAATGCTGAGGAATGACAAAAGTTCTAAGCATAGAAATACTGAGATCACATAGCACTTCTCTTGCGAACGAAACATGTAAGGCGAGCTGTCGAACTGATGAGCATGTAAACAAAAAAGTTAAACATGTAAAGACAGAGCGAGTCTTAAGGGCATCATAACAAATTTTAAAATAATAGAAAATCATGGATGGATTCAAAATGCGAAACGCAAAATCTAGGTATAAATAGACAACACATACTAACTTACCAGGTACGATACAAAAACAACCAACTACTGACAACTTCAGCATACGTGAGGTAACCATAGAATATTTTAGAAAAAACATGTTAAACAGAGCTCCCCGAAGATTGAAGAATTGAAGAATCCAATTGAAGATTTCTTCAAGTATACTAAATATTACAAATACCATCTCAATAGAATTAGGGGCTTCAAGGTCTCAGAAGTTTACTACATTGTACCTTTTTCTCACTTCTATTTGCAGCTTTTTCTGAGTTCAACCAGAGGTATTCTGACCTCTATCAGAGGTACGCTAACACCTAATAATTTACTTATATTTTTATTTATTTGCTTGTTTTCATTTTTCCAATGAGAATTTATTAACTTTTCCAGAATAATATCATAACAGGTACTTAAAGCATATTACCTATATCTATGTTTTCGTTTTATTTTGTTGAATGAACTTACATGAGTGATTATTTTAGGATAATTTATTTACAGTGTAGAAAAAGATTTTTTTTAATTAAGCAAGCTGGGTGTGTCACTGCTTCAAATGAGTGTATGGGAAACCCATTTTGGGCCTCTCCTTCTCTTTTCGAAGTTCATGATTTTCATTTGATTCAAGTATCAGAAAAATGACCACTAAGATTAATTCAGTCTGTCCTGAGAAAAGCGTAGCTGAATCAGTCTTGTACAATTCCTTTATTTTTGGATTTATGCTTAATTACTGAGAATATTTTATTCTCTAGAATGTTTTTAAAATTAACTTTATTAAATTAACTATTTTGGCTGTGTTTTGTAGTATTTGTTTACTTGGCATAGTAATGAGGTATTAAAAAATTAGAAATATCCAAATAAAAATATTATGTATATAAATAAAGCTTTCATAAGCTTTTTATAGTTTTTCCTGTAAAAAGGTTTGTGGATTAAAATTTTGTATTATTAAAATTAATATTTTAGATGTCATGCTTAGTACATTATAATACTTATATACTTAGTAGTTATGATACTTAGTACATTTTAAAACGCAGACGAAACTTCAAATTAAAAATCCAGATATAAGTTTAAAGGAATAGCCGTTAAATTGTATGTTGCATATTCTCAAATTATCTCAAAATTACGGTGCATTTTTTACTAAAATGCTAAAATGTATATAATGTATATAAATGCTAAAATGTATATAATGTATATAAATGCTAAAATGTATATAATGTATATAAATGCTAAAATGTATATAAAATTTTAGCATTAATTTGCAAAAAAAAAAAAAAAAAAAATTAATGCTAAAATTTATATCATATATTCTCTCTTTTATATCAAAATTAGTGCATATTTCTAAAATACAAAATCTCGCATGTCAGTTAATAGCACTGCAGAGGCATTAGGTTTCTTGAAACACGAGAGGCGAAAAATGTGCAGTGCCCTTATAAAGACTCGAACCTAGACCTCTCGATTACGCGCCCAGTGTGCTACCGTTACACCAAGATGGCATGTCAGAAGGATGGAGAAAATGCCTTATAAATCCCCCTTTTAAAGGGCGAGTGGGGATTAGGGAACCCAACCGCCAAATCCTGGTGGCAACGAATTATTGTCCTTCACTTTTTAGTTCGGGCGCCACTGTAGAGTCATTAGGTGTCTTTTTTTTTTTTTTTTTTTTTTTTAAAGCAGGAGAGGTGAAGAATGTGCAATGTCTTAACCGGGACTCAAACCAGGACTTCTCGAATATGCTCCGAGTGCGCTACCGTTACACCAGGAAGACATGCTGGAAACAAGAGGAAATACCCAATAGCATATACTAAATACATTTTTTGAAAATGTTTTGGAACTATAATAAGATTTTCGTTACAATTGCTACCTATTTTAACAGCATTAGCTATTTTAAACCTAATGATATAATTAATGTTTCTGCTTATTTTCCATTAACAGTATTCATTAATTTTAGACGTATATTATTCACAAATACTTAAAGTTATTAAAAGCAAATAGAAATTTTTTTAAATTGCTTCATGAGCCTCAAATCAATCACAGAAATTCATAAAGCAAAGAGAGAAAAAAACTCAGTACTTGTGCTTATTTGCTTTTGCAGTACATATGTGAATTGCGTGAAACGAATTGTAAAGGAAGATGAGAAAAGAGTGTGATATCGTAATATTAAGCGCTTAAAGGCTATGTGTGGAATTGCAGAATATTGGGCCATTAGCCTCTATTTTTTTAATAAGGATTGCACTTTTTTAAAGGACAAAAACTATTCGGTCCCAGAATAATAAATTCTTTCTCTTCTTTTGCGCACAAACGGACAGACAAAAAAATGAATTGCTTTTTAAGCAATTGGCAAATAGCAGTCATCAAGGCGATCTTCCACCATGATAATGCCAACGTTAATGCTGCTTTAATTAGTTGGCACAATCTGCTGGAACTTCGTTTGGGAAGTATTAATCTAGGGTCATTTGAGAGGCCCAGCCCGATCCTCCTGTCAAAATATTAATTGTGCAATGATCAAGTAAATGGGATGCGCCCAGCTCCAACAAAAAACAACAGCCAGCAGCCTTCGCGAACATCGACTTCGCATCAGGTCGTTACTGCCCATTATATATTAAACTGAGAGCTAAATTCTGCAATTTGCTGTTTTGAATGTCATGAGCGACACACAGCTGCATATATGTATAAAAAAAAAAGAATTATGTACCCATTGGAACAATCAGCAATTTTTTTGTATAATAAATATATAAACGTAACAGACAATGCAGCAAATATGAAAGCGGCTATACGATTGACGAATTCTGAACACTTGCCTTGTGTCGCGTATACACTTAATTAAATCGTGCGCGCAGGACTTCAGGGCTCGGAATTAGATTGTCTCATGAAGAGAGTGGGGAAAACACTATCGTGGACAAAAGAATGTGTATCCTTCAGAAGCCTGTAGAAGCGGGTCTTGGACTCCGACAAAATCCGGTTGAAAATCAATCAGACAGTAACTGGTACATATAATCATATTTTAAATTATTTATACTTTTACATATAATCAATATTTTAAAGCCATTTAAGCAGCTAACCGAAGTGTTAAATATTTGCATAATCGTCTGTAGTAACGGCACCCGCTGCTAATAAAAGGTGGTGCTTTTCTTGGTAGCACCGCAGTTCCATTTTAGTTCGAGCCAGAATAGACCTGCCCGGGGAGAAGCCAGGGGATGATTCCGGTTTCCAGTTCCGGTTCCAGTCTGGGTTCCAGTCCCGTCCTGTTCCAGTCCAGCCGTCCTTTGAGTCCAGTTCAAAAATGGGGATTTATGCCAAGGGAGAGGAGTCCTTTAAAGAGTGTTCTTCCCGTGGAATAGCTGACTTAGCACTTTGAAGTTTTCCACCAAGATGTTAAGTTTTGTTTATGATGTTAAGTTTTCATCAGTGTTGAAGTTCCAGTTAAATAAACCTTTAAGTTTTAGACAAGGTTTTTGTGTTCTTCAGAAAATTTAGATTCGAAGTCAGATATAGCACATAGGATTATTATCGGAAAAATCAACATTTGGCATCAAGCGACAGGATATTGTCTGCAAGGTAAGCGACTTTTTTATTTTTGAATCATGGAAGCTTTAAAATTAGCAACGAACTCAATATAGAAGACTATTCAGTAAAGCTTGTAATGAATTTGACAATGAAGAAACTAAATTTAATCAGGAAGAAAAAATTAATTAAAATAAAAGTTATTGCCGAGAAAGCTAAAGTTTTGTTTGATACTGAAATGAAAATACGAGAATTAATGTTTAAAGAAATTACAGATGAGACTTTACTTATTAAGGAAATAGATGAATCTGAATTATATTTTGATAGGTGGAGACTTCTGGAAAGTAAAGTAAAAGATCTTCACTTCTGGAACCCCGAATGTAACTTTAATTGATCCGTCTTTGTTCAGAATAAAATGTTACACATTATCCGAAGATTTAAATTTGCCTATCTTTGACGGCAACGTGTGAAGAAATGGCTAGGATTTTGGGGGCAATTCCCAAAAGATTGATAAAGATCCTACATTAGATAATAATGATAAATTTGCTTATTTTAGCACAGGCTATGGAGAAGAATTCTCCTGCAGAGGAAATAGTTAAAAGCTTTCCGCCAACTGGCGATAGTTACAAGAGCGCAATCGAAGCATTGCAGACGCGTTTTGGTAACAAAGAATTACTAACGGAGATTT